TAAATTACATGTATTTGTAAATTAAGATTAACCTTATTTTCAAAAAGTTAAAATGTATGATGTCTAATTGTGTATGAGTACAAGTACTGTTATTGTGGTTTAATTTACTAGGGGTGTGATATTGACGTCACAATAGCCGTATCAGCCCTGCAGGGCTGATATGGATTTGCATCTCCATATCATATATCTAAGTGTGTAATAAATATATATATATATATATATATATATATATATATATATATATATATATATATATATATATATATATATATATACAAATATGAATAGTATTAGACTATGTGGTATCTTTTATTTCAAGCTCATAGAGATAAACTATAATATGTATCACATATACATTGCACAAAATGTTATGATAAAATTGTTATTGATAGAAAAAATACGATATTCTCAGTGTGCTAATTTTGCGCTTCTGTAAGCAAACCTATTTTTGCATTCAGATGAAGCAGAATTAGTTCAAAAACTTGTACATGAGAAGACAAAATTTGCTGTGATTTCGACATTATAAAGATATATCGAAAACAAATGCATTTATATGGGCGGCGGAAAGGGTAAAACAGACGTTAATGCAAAACTAACAAACTACTTTTATATACGAGGGTTGTCTCAAAATTCTGTAGACAAGCGTTGTTTTGTTGGAACCCTATGTCATACATTAATGAAACTTTGTATATAGATTAAACCAACACTATCTAATAAATTTATGGATATATATATATATATATATATATATATATATATATATATATATATATATATATATTTTGGTGTTTATGCTTTGATAAATATTTTTATATACATGAGGTTGAAATCCGACTTTCTGAAAAATGGCGGCGCGTTGGCACAGGCGGCGCACTATATGATCAAGTATCCTAAATTCACTCTTAACCAGTCATAACGGTTTGGTAATAAAAGTGAAACTTTTTCTCATCCTGATATTTAAAATGATTAAAACAGTTTCTATGTGTATAATGTAAATAACAGTAGCTAAAATAAAAGACGGGGCTAAGAAATGGGCAAGAGTTGCATTGTGCAACTCCCTTAGAGAAAACAGACAAAAAGCTCGTCGAAATGTAGCGTTTTCAAATTCTAAATATGTATATATATATATATATATATATATATATATATATATATATATATATATATATATATATGTATGATATATATATATATATATATATATATATATATATATATATATATATTTTGGGACAACCCTATATTTACTCATATTTTATAAAGTATAATTATATATATATATATATATATATATATATATATATAATATATATAATATCAACTAAAAAATTTAATATTTTATTATTCGAAGGAAATAAACTGGAACAAAATCAATGTATGGTAATGCAGAGGAAATTCGGACTAAATTTTTTTTAATTTTTCGTTTTGTCAAAATTTATTACTTCTTGCAAGATTAATTACAATGTAAAGGTTACATGTATTTTTAAACATTATTTTGCAAATATTATAAGTGTTAAAGCACATATATTGTTTCGAATAATTGAATGCTATGAAATAAAGAAATTCAAAAATATGAACAAAAACCATTCCAGACAATATATCTCAATATTTTGATTATTAACACCATTTAATTTTATTACCATAAGAAGTAGGGCAACAAACCTGAGGCTATAAAAATTTAGAGTTCTTATCATTCATATTTTTTTTTCAATTTTCGATTAAAAATGGGGAAAATATAAATATGACAGAGGATCTTCGGACTGTTATAATCATTAAGTTTATGGCCCAAAACTCTTATCGTTTCTTGTTATGAAGCAACGCTGTTTCATTTCTATAATATTTCATTATTAGAGTTATGTTGTTTGCAATATTTCGTGGGTAAAAAAAAATGGTCATAGTGTGAAAAATTGAGGTATTTTCTGAGAAATACTCAGGGACCATTACCATGAAAAATAGGCCATCGAGCTAGTTATTTGAAATTTAAATCAAACAGAAGAATCATAGCTGTACAATGTGCATTTTGGTTCTTCATTCTTATCAGTGGAATTTTTAGTCATACGAGTAAAGGTATACCTTAAAGCAAAATCAACAGAACCGTTTGCAAAATCAACAGACTCCGATGCAAAACCAACGATCACCATTGCAAAACCAACAGTCATTCACTGATTGACGGTAGATGGTGTGCAAAGACAGACAATTCCTGAGTTAACGCTAGATGGTGCGCGCGTTTTTCTACGTCAACATTATTTGTGTACTTTCATTGCCCTGAACGTACATCATGCGAAATTGTCTATCAACTCCTAAATTGGCAAACCACAGAATGAGTAATTTAAAGTATGAAGAAAAGAAATTAAGACTAGATGTGTACCGATATATATTTTTGCTTAAAAATAAGGTAATGTGATGTAGGACAACGATTAAACCAGGTTTTGGAAAGGGGATACTGTTTTTTGGAGAAATTAGGAAACCCAAAAGGGGCCTGGGGGCCAGAGCCTGTCGTGTGTGTGTGTGGGGGGGGGGGGGTGAAGGCCCCCGACTGAAATTGAATTTAAGCATTTTTATGACTATTAAGGGTGCATAAAATTGCAACGAGAAACCATTTTCTGTGTTAGTCAAAATGCATATATGACAAGGTCGACACGCATATCATGGCAAAGATGCCATCACCCGTTGTACAGGGGTACAATTAATTTTCATCCTTGTAGCCCTACAATGTAATTTTCTTTTACAGTTTGAACTATTTAATTGCACATAAGCCACTCACCTTTTCAATTTTGCGCAATTTTATCAGACATAAGTATTTTCATAATGTAATTTTACATTTTTGTACCGTATAAGTGGAAATTTAAATTCGTTAAATATTCTGCTTATACGGTATCAAATAATTCATATCTATACAGGCGCGGATCCAGGATTTTTTTCCTGAAAAAGGGGGAGGGGAGGTTATTCCACCCCAGCCCCCCCCCCAAAAAAAAACAGCCCAGAAATTTCTTGAGAAGCAAAAAACCCCAACCAAACAAACAAACGTAAACTTTCCCAAACTTGAAAAACATATTTGGGGGAGAGGGTGGGGTGGGGTTAACCTTTGAAGATTCATATATAGAAACCTAGTACTTTTCATAGCCACGTAGCATATTCGCGTTTTGGAGGAGGAGTCAGAGTTTTCTAGGGGCGTCCGAGGTCACTTAAAGAAACTTGGTTTAGTATATGCATTTAAAAACTCAGCAAAATGCAGGGAGAAGGGTCTGGACCCCCAAAGATCCTCCTCCTCTAGAAACCCCAAAGACCCTCCTCCTCTAGATCCGTGCATATCTATATTATTGAAAACTGCCAAATTATTTGGCAATAGTTTGATAAAATTATTTTTTACTTATTGTCTAACATATAGGAACCATATTTGTGCGACATAATACTTTCTAAATTAACCCATTCTAAAATAAATTTGATAGACGTCACCTAGTCGTACAAAGAAAAACAAAAAATACAAGTAAAACTTGGCTTGTGAATGTTCTCGAATCAATAAATTGTGTAATGCATGAACACAATAAAATAACTTTATTTGAACTTTTAAGGAGTGTAAGGGGATTTTTTTTTCTTTCAAAAAGGAAAACAAGATATTAGGAAAATATCTCTTGGGAAAAATACCAATTCTACTACTGGTTTCTTGTAATAAATTTACAGCCGTTTGTAGATGTCTTGCTGCCTCTGATATGTTTGAATTTTGAGAGTCCGACATGATGCTATCATCCAAAGTTTAACAAATTGATATTAATAGACAATTTCGCGAGATTACATTCCTATTATAGTACACAAATAATGATGGTTTTGCGCATCATCTAGTGTCAATTCAGTGAATGACTGTTGGTTTTGCATTGGTGATCGTTTGTTTTGCATCGGAGTCTGTTGATTTTGCAAACGAGTCTGTTGATTTTGTTTTTAAGATTTTGTTTTATATTTCAGTATGTTCATAAAACTAGTTGTTAGTTTTGCATTAAAGTCTATTTTACCCTTTCTGCCTCCCAAACATGCAGCTGGTTCCATTACACTCCCCGATTTGTTTTTCTTCGATGGACTTTTGGGCTAAATCACTGCTGGTCTTCAGTCTGTTTCATATTGATTCAAATTAGTTGTACATGAACGGTGTATAAACCTATAAAAAAAATATTGCTGTATATTGTTGTTAAAGTTGCAGATTATAAATTATTTTCATATCTTACAGAATTTCACTTAAATCATATTTAAAAATCAATTTTTACTTGCGATAATGCATTGTAATATTTTAGAAAAAATAAACATGTTTGAAAAGTCTGTTTGGTCGAAAATAAAATTATATGAACCCTTTTTTCGTTATAATATCAGTTTAACATTTTTAAAAAATAATAACTATGTTTTAAGTGAAAAAATAAAACGTATAAAGTGTGCACAGATTCAAACTTTCGGCATTCAAATTGTTTAGAATGAAAAACTGAAGTTTTTTGTTGCTATTTTAAGTCTGTGATAACTTATTCAAATAGATTCAAAAATGTACTGGTGCATATATATGCACACTGTGAATTCCTTATTTTACTTACACGTGAAATGTGAACAACACCTTTGGACATTCCAGTCTATCTACAAAGAATGAAAAACCATCTTAATTTTTTTGTGTGCGTTTTACGCTTGTATTTCAGTCAACCCATCGGAAAATCCTACACTTTAAAATAAATTCTCTTTTTTCACAGTGATAATATAAATTGTGAAAAAAAAATAAGAACAACATCTCTGCTCGATATAAGATCTTTTTCTGTAATCATGTAACTGAAATTCCGACCAGAACTGGCTTAGTTTTTAAAAATGCATACTAAAGATGTTTTAGGGCTGAATTTGTACATATATTTTCAAATTAAATGAAATTGGAAAAACCAGAGAACTAATTGTCAATAAAGTGATTATTCATGTGATTTATCAAACCTACATGAAAATATGCACGATGCATCAAACTTATCTTTTATGTCGTTTTAACTTTTTACAAATTGAATAAGATATAAATACCTTCAAACTTCTCGGTTAATTTGTAACATTGCGTGGCAGTCTACAGAAAGGTAAAACTTTACACTATTTAGTACATTAACAAAAAAGCTTTTATGTAGTTTATGTTTTCTAAGCCATACATTCAAATCTACAGTATTTATTTCTCGAATACCTATGTATTATTTGAATTTATTTCCAAATATTACGTTATTTACTTATTTATTGAATTTAAGTTACTATACTAAGATTAAAATAGCTTACAAAGTTTGAGAGTGAAGCTTCACAGTGAATCAAAGTATCAAAGTTTGTACTTAAATTAACTATAGTTAAATAACAGAAAAACGATTATCTATAATCGTTTTTTTTTTGGTGTCTTAATACCTTTATTTAATTTGTATGATTTAAATTATCTGTATAATTGCTTTACAAAATCGTGGTACAAAAACTTCATCAGATTTACATTATATGTGTGCCATAAACTTTTAGCTGTTCACTCCTCCATGGCATCTGATCCCACCTCTGATGTTTTGGATGTTTTGGTGGTTCGTGTTTGCTCCGCTCTTATTTTGTAATCTAATAGACTTTTGAGTTTGAATTCTATTCGTCATCTCCACATATTTCATTTATATAAAGGTACCTCAATCACCTTCATCAAAATTGTGAAAAGCTTACATCACTTGTGTTTGACTGTCTTTGCATTTGTCATGTTTTGAAATGATTGTTGAAAATAAAACTTATCAGGGAAAAACATTCGAATGATGATACAAAAACTGGATGTTTCATCTTTCCTTCAAATTAACGTTAAAAAGCTATACAATGCAATACATTGTATTTTGTTTCCAAATTGTGACATTAACCTTGGTCTTACTGACTACTTCTTGTTCATGAAAATCCCCCTATGAATATATAAAGTAAGCTTGTAATTTTTCTCACTAAATATATGAGAACACTTATGGTGTACAATCTCATATCTAAGTCCAGCAAGATCCATCTTTATTAAAGAAGAATATGGAGATAACGAACAGTATTCAATATCAAAGTCCGTAAAACAATACAAAATAGGAGCAGACCAAACACGGACCTCTGAAACATCAGAGGTGGGATCAGGTGCCATGGAGGAGTGAGCATCCCCTGCTGACCAGTCACACCCACTGTCTCTTCCTTGTCAGGAAATAGCGGAAAAAATCCGCCGTCAATTCAGTGTATAAACAATGGACTAACAATTAGTATGAAAAACGTCAGACAGCATTTGACTCAATGATAAATTATATTTTCTAACAAGGTCGTTGTATCGACCATAGAACGTACGAAATGATGACCATAAAGGAGACTGCTGATATTCTTGTTTCATCAACTTGCTTGTCAATCATTTACCTCGTTTTAGAAATTTTTCATACGTAGAGCATGCTCTTGCGTAACGAATTAACTGAGATATATATACTCCATATGCAGGTAATGAAGGTATATTGCTGCAAGTTGGCAAATAGAAAAGTTAAAGTCCTCACGTACGTTTATCATAGAGCTTGGTTGTTAGATTACCATTAATGTCCTTTTCAAGTAAAATATTCAAGTATGAAACAGATGCGTCAGACTCTGTGGTATCTTTTATCTCAAGCTCTCCAGGATATATCGTATCGACGTAGGAATGGAAATTACCATTGTTAATTGACAATACGTCGTCGATATATCTAAATGTCGAGTTGAGGGCCAAAGCAAGTATTTTCTTCTTTTCACGCATGATATTTTGCACAAATTTTGCTTCATATGAATATGAAAATAGGTCTACTAATAACGGAGCGCTATTGGTACCCATGGGAAACCCAAGACATTTTTGGAAGACCTGGTCTCCAAAAACCACATAGATATTGTCAATCTGAAACTCAAGCATCTCTTTGATGTCAACCTTTGAGTACTTGAGTGCAATTAGAATGTGTTTTAACAAAATGATTTTGCAAATGACCAATGACCAGGTAAGTAAATCTACGAGTTTCATTTTTATTGAAAAAGCAGCTGTCAATAAAATTTCTCTTTGATCCTGGTCACTTTTAAAACAGCTAGCTATTATGGACTTTGAGATTGAATAATGTTCGTTATCTCCATATCCTTCCCTCGAATTCAGAAGTCAAATCAGGATACATTATTAATAATAAAGAAGACATTCATTTATCTATGTGCAAACTGTGCAAGTCTTGGTCCAATGGTATTGGATAAAAGTTTTTTTCTAAAGAAAATATTATTCAAAATAGCATTTTCTTTTTATTTCCTAGCTTTAGTGCCTTTATTTGAGCAGATATGATTTTTCATTTGAGTATCCTGTTATTAACGTTTTCAAGTGTCGGTGCACGATGGCCGCTGTGTCCTCCAGTATGTATATCTGATAATTGTACAAAATATCAAACTTTGATTTCAACTACTAATTTTTACGCAATATATATTTTACCCCAATAACTCAATCATACACGTGAAAAAATCGAATGAAATAATGTAAAATAAACTGATTATACGTTTCATTTATTTTGGAATAAGGAAAAATATTTGTATTTTCGATAAAAATTAATATAATTTTGATTTAATTAATTCAATATTTGTGATTTTGAACCTAGCGATTGATGCAGAATTGTCCTGGGAATCTAGTGTGTGTCAATGGAATGTGCAAGCCCTGGTGTAAGTATTAAACATTTCAGAATTTAACAATTAAATGGCAGGAACATTTCAAAATTATTTAAAGCAAAACTTGTATATTGTAAGGCTATTTTGTTTCATTTCTATTCATCATGTTTTATATGAACATAAATTAAACACCTTTATTTACTTAATTGATTTTATTACATTACGTTATACCCGGTATCAACTAAAAATTCCCTCCTCTATAAAGATATATAATCTTACTTACACTTTATGCATGGGACCATGTGTATGTGCCGTAAAGTCACAAAATCCCCAATGACATTTTGATTATAGATCTTTTCATTGGAATCCGCGCCCTTGACGTTAGTTCAAGAAAAATGTTTATGTTCTCCAGTGTAATTTTACTGAAGTTCACTGAAGAAGGATATGGAGATAATGAACAGTATTCAATATCAAAGTCCATAAAGCAAGTCGCCCGCGTGGCACAGTGGTTAGAGCGTCTGCTTTAAAGTCGCGAAGTAAGGAGGTAATCCTTACGTCGCGGGTTCGAATCCCAATGTGAGATGTGGAGACCGGTCCTTCGGATGAGACCGTATAAACCGAGGTCTTGTGTCGCAGTAGGTGCTGGCACAAAAAAGATCCCTCCCTATTCAACGGCCCTGAGTGCCGAGTATAGGACAGAATTTGCAGTTCTCCACAGGCAAGTTGTGGCGTCTCCATATGAGTGAAAAATACTCGAGAGAGACGTTAAATAATATACAATCAATCAATCAATCAATCCAAAAAACAATACAAAGTAGGAGCAGAGCAAACATGGACCTCCGAAACATCAGAGATGGGATCAGGTGCCATGGAGGAGTGAGCATCCCCTGCTGACCGGTCACACTCTCCGTGTGCTCTTTGTCATGATCAGGTAATAACGGAAAAATCTGTCGTCAATTCAGTGTATAAATAATGGACAAACAATTAGTATGAAAAACGTGAGTCAGGATTTGGCTCAACGTTTTTGCTGACAAAGCCATTGTATCGACCATAGAACTTACAAAATTATGACTTTAAACGAGACTGCTGATATTTTCGTGTCATCAACTTGCTTGTCAATAGTTTACATCTTTTCAGAAATTGCTCATACGTAAAGCAAGCTCTTGCGTATCGAATAATTTACATCGTTTTTGAAATTGCTTATACGTAGAGCATGCTCTTGCGTATCGAATCAGCTGAGATATATACACAGCTAGGTTTTTGCACACACCTATAACCTTGATTAGACCATATCGCATCCATATTAAAGTTATAGAAACAGAAAGTTGGATGAATGATTTTGTCATAAAATGTTTTTCAAACTTTTTCCTCGGTAATATATTAGCGCGTTTATATCGCTATCATACTCTATGTATAGGTATTGGGGCAGGTGCAAGTTATTATATTCATATTTTTAAATTTCCCGTGAAAAATCTCAAATCAAGATTGTTCAAGTATTTCTTATGGATATATTTTGTAATAATATCTATATTAATATGACAGAAAATAATTATTGGAAACATACATAGACTACTAGTAACTAATATTTCATAAAAAATGAAAACGTTAAAATTCGGATTAGCCAATATTCATTTCAGTTATTTTTGTCAGTTTGATTATATCATGAGAAGGATGTGGAGATAACGAACAGTATTCAGTCTCAAAGTCCATTAAACAATACAAAATAGGAGCAGAGCAAACACGGACCTCCGAAACATCAGAGGTGGAATCAGGTGCCATGGAGGAGTGAGCATCCCCTGCTGACCGGTCACACCCGCCGTGTGCACCTTGTCATGATCAGGAAATAACGGAAAAATCCGTAGTCAAATTGGTAATATCATTTTATGAAAAAAGAAAAACATTTCATCTTTCGAAATAGAAGTAGGCATCGAATGATTGGTAAGAGTATTTTTTTTAATTCTTAATGTCAAGAGAAAACGTAATGACCTTGATCTGACCTTGGCACTAATATAAACCAGACAAATTTAATCTTTTTGATCCATTACTTTTAATGTCTTTTTGATACTGTGACAATTTCCGTAATATTTAATTACAAGATATATGAAAAGTATCCCTCCTTTAAACATTTTAAACCTATACTTTACTACTAGATCCCTTTCATGCCTGATCACAAAGTGCGAGGTCGATATGATTTTTTGTTAAGTCTATTATCTATGGATTTACCTCATGAAAGGGCTACATCTATTTTATTATTTTTTAAAGACAAAAATAGAAAAATAATGAAATTTTCACACAAAGATTAAATTAAAGCTTACTTATGTAATTGTGGCACCTTTACATATGCCGATGTACCAATCAATAAATTAAAGCTACATTTGTTTAACTATATTTTTTATGAATTTATGAGGAGTATATTTAATTATTTTCACCATAAAGTAGATTAATATTCAAGGTATTTTTACCTCTTTACAATTATTACAGGTCAACACAATTTATTATGATATTTAGATTTAAAATAACCATTATTTTCAAAACATATGCATCAAATCATATTTGCTATGTTAAGTTAATTTACACAATTGTTTTAAATAAGATTGTTTCTATGATTAAGAAGCATCAGATTGATATGCATTTCAGAATCTTTAAGTAAGTAAGTAAGTAAGTAAATATTTTATTATAGTGACATGTGTATATACAGTTATTTTTAACATTCGTTATACAATTAAACATAATATATGTTCAACACCCGGCCCATCGGACCTATAAGTCACTTTTAACAATTTATATACATTACAATTTACATGCGTGTGATTTTTCTTTGTCTTAAATTATAGGCTTTATAAATAAAATTTGCAGATTGACGCAATTTTCAATTTACAAAAGTTTACAATAGAGAAGAACTAATATTTCATTTTCACAAAAAGACATAAATATTTCAGTAAAAAAAAAAAAAAAACATTTCATATTTAATAGATATATAGATAAAATATCAATTTAATTACAACGTATATAGAAAAATAAAGATTATAATTCGTCTGCTAACTTTTTCAAAAGATAGTAGTTAGATTTAACACTTTTTGCACTCTTTGCTATTACATAATACTGATATAAAGACGATTTCAAAAAAAAAAATAACATTGCATTTTGATTTACTATTTCGTTTTGCAACCTACATTTCATTTTATATTTATATATTTTGTATCCCACAATTGATATGACATTATTAAAAATCAATGTTGTGTTATTGAACTCATTATAAAATCCTACAACAATATGTTTCCAGGATAGATTTAAATTCAATATTTGAGATATTTTTTCCCATACTCCTTTTGAGTCCGTACATTCAAAAATTAAGTGTTTAATATATTCTACTTGTCCGCAAGATGTACAATTTTTTGCCACTTCTTTATTCCATTTACTAACATGATAATTACAATTCAGTTGGTTGTGTAAAAGTTTAAAATTGAATTCTGCTATCTGTTTATCAAAAATATTTAATATCTTAGCTGTATAGATATCTTTCCATTGACCATTCATTATATTGAATTCTTTTGACCATTTAGCTTCCATTATTGGCTTTTGTTTCTTTTTAGAAAGTAAAATTTTATAATAAAATCCCGATTTTTCAAATTTTGGGTTTATACTTTTCCCTTGAAAATAAAAATACGGGTTTTGTATATTAGTGTTCTTTACATTACAATAATCTATATGTAGTTTTTTAATCGCTTTTTTCATGATAAGATATTCACACAAGTAATTACTCTTTGATTCAATGATCTCTTTTACTTCCATAACATGTTTCATACCTTCTGTTGTAAACATATCTTTTACATATAAAATACCACTTTTTGCCCAATTTTTTAAGTATAATGGTTTGTTATTTTGTGTAATGAAACTATTAAACCATAGGTTTTCTGTTATTTTATTTCGTGGTGATGTTAACATTTTACACTCGTTAAAACTACAGAAGATTTCTTTATAAAAATCTGGGAATTTATTTAAAATATTGAAATCAGTCGGATTTTTTATATTGCTGCGTAGCAGATATTCAAAATTTATTCCATAAGAATTTAAAGCGTTATCTAGGAAAATTCTAAGTGAGGAATTTTTATTATATAGTCTTTTGATCCATCCCGCTTTTACGCTTTTAAGTTTGCATTCTATATCAATTATACCAAGACCGCCTTCATTTACTGGTCTTATGAGTGAATTCCGCTTAATTCGCTCTCTCTTATTCCATAAAAAATTGTAAATAATTTTATTTAAATTCTTAATGTAGTCAACATCTGGATTTTCAAGAACTGTGAATGCATATACTAATTTAGATACTATTAGTGAATTAATAACGGTACATTTTCCGAAAAAAGTTAAACTTCTAGTTCTCCATGAATCTAATATTTTTTCAAATTCCTTAAGCTTGTTGTCATCTCCCTCGGGAGATGACACATTAAGATTGTATGCCGGAAGTGAAGTCCTAGTGTAAGCTTCCATTAATCTTTCGGGAGTCCTCGATGTTTTACAGAGTTCTAAGTAGCCTGTAAACTGGTTTTCTTTTAGAAGAACTAGCTTAGGAGTGTGTGATCTACTTTCGGTTTAGGCCTATTTGAAAGCCAAGGAAAATTTAGAAAAGAAGTACGATGTTTATAAATATCTATAGTTTCGGTGTGTCGTATTTATATTGATCCTCAATACTATGCCTTATTAAATTGGTAAGCCACAAAAGGAGAATTGACAATGACGTGATTTCTATATATAGATTTGTTGACGTGAAGGGAAAACTGGTTCTCGCACAAAAGAACAAGCTTACTGCAAAAAATGAATGAAGAGTGGTCAACGCTAATTTTATGTAAATTTTTTAGTCTGTAATTGGATTTATTAAATTAATTCATGTCAAACTTTAATGATTAGCTGCTTTTAAATGATAATTATTGTTGATAATTCCGTATTGTTAAGAAAATATAGTTCAAGGAAAGTATTTGAATTTAAGTAAATTGTAAACACCCAGAAGCACAAAGACCGCTAGAATGAAATTTCACCAAAGATCGCCTTGGGTTCTCTCGC